TCCCCTCCCCTCGCCCCGCAGACTTGCTGGCCGCCTTAGCTTCTGGGAGGCTGCGGGATGGAGGCCAGGGCGGCCCCACTCAGCGCCTCTCCCTGCCCCCAGGTTCTGCCCCCCAGCATGCTGGTGGCAGCCGTGTACTGCCTGGTGGTGGCCGTCATCTTCACCACCATCAAGACGGTGAACTACCGGCTCCACGCCATGTTCGACCAGGGGGAGATCGTGGAGAAGAGGAACTCCACTCTGGGGGAGGCGGAGGAAGAGCCTGCCCCCGGGGACAGCGACGTGCCCAGGTAGGATGGGCCGAGTGAAAGGGCACGGCCCCCCGCTTTGTGGGAAAGAGGCTGCAGGGCGTCAGCTTGGCACGGCAGGTCCTGACCTACTCGCCCCGAAACCCTCAGGGATCCTGGCGTGGAGATGACGGTGTTTCGGAAAGTGAGCTCCACGCCCCCCGTACGCTGCAGCTCCCAGCATTCCGTGTTCGGTTTCAATCAGGTCACGGTGAGCCGGCCCTCTAGGTTGGGGAATGGGGAACTCTGTCCCGTGGGTTCCAGGGCCTCTGTCCCTCGCATGGTCCTCCTTGGTCTGGGGACTTCACCCACGTAGCCTGTGAATTGTTCCCTCTGACTCCCGTCTTTCTCCTTTATCAGGAGCTGTTCCCCCGGGTAGAGGACTCTGGGTCTCTGAGAGGTGAGAGCTTGTGGCTTCCTCCATGGCGGCTTGGAGATCCTCTTGGGGCAGGTGCACAGGCCTGGTCCCAGGACCCCTGCCTTCTTGTGAGTGTTTGGCGGGGTCAGAGCTGACTGGCCCGTTTACGTTGCAGACATCAAGGAGCTAGTTCGAGAGCAGGGCAGCAACAACGTGATTTTGACTGCAGCCGACCGGGAGATGCTGAAGCTGAGCTCCCCGGAGAAGCTGCGTGAGTGGGCCTGGAGGTGGGGGGGACCTGGGAGGGGGGCTGAGGAGACGGGAGGCCTGGGCCTCACTCTACCAGCCCTTGAGTGCCTGTGCCCTCCCTCCCAGAACGCGGGACAACTCTTCTTTCTCTGATTTGTTTCCCTTCTAGTTGGGGATCTCCCCCAGACTCCCCCAGGGCCTCCTCCCCCAGAGCCTTCACTGCCCAGCACAGACTCCTCAGAGCGTTCTCCCCTGGCTGGAAACAGGGGGACTCCCTGGAGTGGAGAAAGTGGGGCCAACACTCCCATGAGCCCCCTGCTCAAAGGGAGCCTCAGCCAGGAGTTGAGCAAAAGCTTCCTGAATCTGACTCTTCCCGACCGGCCGCTCGTGCGCACCAGCAGCCGCAAGGAGAGGCGTGGGGGAGCTGGTTATCGGCCCCTGGACCGCCGAGGCTCGGGGGACCCCGTGCCCCAGAAGGCTGGCTCCTCCGACTCCTGTTACAGCGGCACCGACAAGGAGACCCTGAGCAGCTTTAAGAGTGAGAAAACCAATTCCACGCACCTGGACAGTCCTCCCACGGGCCACCCCAGGGATGGCAGTGACACAGATCCACCGTCGGAAGGCGACCTGCCCCCCTCCCCAGACGTCGGGGTCCCCTCCGACGATACCCTGCGCTCCTTCGACACGGTGATCGGAGCTGGGACTCCACCGGGGGGCCCCGATCCCCTCCCGGTCGTCCGACCCAAGGACCTGGCCCTGCTTCGGCCCGGCAAACGCAGAACCCCGATCCGTCGGCACTCCCCTCCACGCCGAGCCTCCCGACGCTCTTACCCTGCCCCAGGCCGCCCCCTGCTGGAAGGGGGCGGCTTTTTTGAGGACGAGGACACGAGCGAGGGCAGTGAGCTCAGCCCTGCTTCCAGTCTTCGGTCCCAGAGACGCTTCAGCACTGACAGCTCGTCCTCCACTTCCTGTTACTCCCCCGAGGGGTCTAGAGGGGCTGGGGGTGGGCCCCGGAAGCGGCGGGCCCCCAGAGGGGCCGAAGAAGGGGCCACGGTGCCCCCCAAGCGTCCCTATGGAGCTCAGCGGACCCCCAGCACTGCCAGTGCCAAGACGCACGCCCGGGTGCTCAGCATGGATGGGGCCGGGGGCGACGGTCTCCGGGCCCCCCTGGCAGGCTCCAAAGCAGAGCTAGAGGCCCAGGCTGGGGGCGAGCTGGCGGTGGCCTCGGCCTCCCTGCCACCGTCGGACAGCTTTGCCCTCGGGAGCCAAAGGGGGCCCGCCGCCAACCAGCCCGGTTGGCGGGGGGAGCTCCAGGAGGAAGGAGCAGTTGGGGGTGGTGAGTGAAGGACGTGCAGGATGGGGAGGGGGGTGAGATCTGAGCGTCGGACGTGGTCTGTGCCAGAATCGAGCCGGTCCTGGGTGGGGTGAGGGTGGCGCTCTGGGAACCCAAGAGCAGAGGGGTAACACCTGGGTATATGGGGTTCTTTCGGAGGGGCCGCCGAGGAGGGTACCAAGCGGGACCGGTCGAGCAGCGTGCGGCGGACTCAGGCGATCCGGAGGCGCCACAATGCCGGGAGCAACCCCACCCCGCCCTCCTCTGTCATGGGCTCTCCCCCCAGGTGAGCTGGCCCCAGTCTCCCCACCTTCCAGGGAACTCCTTCGAGCCTCCCTTGGGTGCTGACGGGTGCCTGTGGTCTCCAGCCTGCCGGAAGCCCAGCGAGGCCG